GCATGCCATGCTGACACGAAGCGCACGGAGCTTCTGTACGTTGTCGTACGAGGTGCTGTTGTCGTAACGGCATGACAAAAACTTCGACTGTTGTCGAGATGCCACATCCGGTGGAAGAAACATTGATTTAATGACCTTTCTCAGCTCTTGCCATAAGCATAGTAACCTAGGCTTTTGACTTTACACTTTATCGCCCAATATTACGCATGGCCATCCAAATGCGACATGGCAAAGGCCACTTGACTACGGTCATCACAGATTTGAGCTATCGTGATAGCGATGCCCATTTCTCGTTGCCAGAACGCAAGATTTACATCTTCGTTCTCGTGAAAGCTTTTCCCTCGATTTTCATGGGACCTTCCGTGTGTACGGACGGTGTCACCACCAGGTGACGGAACCGGCGTCAGAATGTTCTACTATTGGATTGTTCAAAATGCACGACAACCCCCCCTTGCACTTGGTAGCTCTGATAGTCAATTTCACGGCTAAATCGTTAAAATTGGAATCTTGTGAAGTTAAAACATGAAATATTGAGTGCCTTTCGTCGGGACAACTCAGTAAGCTTAATAAGCATGTGTCAATCAATTCTTCAAAATAAGGGAACATAGAATGGATATTATCTTGCGAAAAGAATGACCGGGTAGTCCAAGGGGTTGAAGAAGCCCGCCTCTTCCTCCGGCAGAAGCGGTTGCTGAGCTGTAAGAATCATCCCTAGGTTATTCGCAAAGAATTTTTAAATAGTGACGTCACCGAATCGGTATGGTTGGTTCCGGAGGAGGTGGTGAGCTCGTCAGCTGTCAAGTATAAGTCTGTCATTGAAGGCACTCGCTGAGCACTGATTGCTTGAGTTGGGACTACTACCTCAAGAACCGCACATATCCTTTTGTTATCGTTTATCGAGAGAATATCGCAAAATGGCGTCAAACATACGTATTACCCCGGATGGATAAGGCGTCATAAATTGACTTAGCATCGTTAACCAAATATTGCGTCAAACAAACATGGCCCACGACAAAAAAACAATACGTCAATGACACTCTCCAGCATGAAGTGAATTCGGTGAGATAAAGTCTAGCGTTACACTTAGCGTCGGCTTTTTGAATCAGAAAGCCTAAAAACAAGTGGCTAGTTGTGTATGCCTACAATAAGCTAAACGCAGCTCATCTTTAGAGCAAGAGCCGAACCTGAGAATGGATGTGCTGCTGCTGGCCAGCATGATTGGCGGCAATTTCTTCAGTGTCATTGACTTGGCGTATGGATGTCATCAACTGCTCATGAGAAACAGCGATATTCTTAACTGGGTGAATGATTCAAGCATGATGCTTCGATTGGCTGATTATGCCAGAGGGACTCGTTAAGATCCCAGTGCCATTCAATCTTCTTGTGACGCAGCCGTTCCACCTCATCATGATTATGCACAAACCTTTTTCGACAAAATATTTGCCAATATTCGTGCGGAGTACAAAAAATATGGACACGGAGAAACAACTTCAGAAAGACGAGCAGTGCTCGAGTGACTGCGCCTAAATGAGCTATTTGCTAGCGGCAAGTGTGCTCTTTGGCATGCACATTCTGGCCTATTCATTGTAAAGTATGAATTGTAGATAAACCCCCGCATAATCGTTTAGTGCCTCTGCGCCAATCGAACCAAGAAAGCAGCTTGGCGTGAAGAGTTTCTAGCACAAGTACTGCTATTAATGTACGGCCCTCATTTAACAGATGTCAAATAGTGTCAAGGTGCAACAAGAGAAGAATTGAAGTGCTAAAAATAACTTCTGGCTTGCCCTCGTTCTGGCCCTTCAGATTTCAAATCGGTCAATAATGTCGTCTGTGACTCTTCAGCCTTCGCAATAGGCTATGATTACTCCAAGCAGAAGCGAAAGAAGAAGAAAGTGTGTTCGCATTCAATACTTGCCAGCTGAAAGCTGCTGAGAGCTGAATCATCCTCATGACGAGAAGCTTTTGGCAATGAATCTTCCCTGGTCAAGAACAGGATGGCCTAATATGTTTACATAGGTAGGCACATATGTGCGCACTTTTTAAACGCTTCAATGAAATCATACCCACGCGCATATGTCAGCACCCTTGGCCAGCTTGTTAATTTCGGCAGAAAGCTGGCATTTCATACGTATACTTTATTTTCGGTCTTTCAAAAGACGCGTTCGATGTACTAGAATTGCGGTCTTTGTGGTCCGACTATACAAGATGGCTTACTCGCTGCTGTCAGCGTTGACGTAACCAAAGATGATGCCTCCAAGCTGTTCATCGACAACGCGGCTTACCATTAGCAATTGTATTGGACACATAGAACCGCTTTTCTCGGCAGAGATGCCGAAATTCGTTCATGGCGCTTGGCACCAGATTGGATAAGTCAACCACCGGCCATTCGCAAACATATGACCAGGCGAGATTTTTATCACGTGTGGGTGGATACTTGCGCGGAGAGACCACAGTGCTGAAACCAAGAGCTTTTGCTCATCAATTTTGCGATGAATAATGCAGTGCACACTGCAATAGGTAAGCTATTTTTACGCATGGTCTGCTTGACTCTTGTTTTCCCTTGAAATCGCCACATTTGAATTCGATTTTGCAGTGAAAGAGGCTATTGACACGATCAAACTCGCCGATGCTTGCTCGACTAAACTTCATGACAAACTCATCTAAATGATATTGTCAAGAGCATCGCCATGTCTGAGAGCCAGGATGTATAGAAGCAACACGCCGATGCCTGAGGCAGGCAAACCACACATGAATATGTAGTAGGGTAAACATAATATTTAGTTGCAAATAACCAAAAAACACACCCAGTATCCGTGGTCCATAAGACCAGGTTGCGGTCAGGCCACATCGAGCTATTTACGGTAGAGAGAACCGACAATTGATATTTACTCATTAAATATTGAAGGCACATGTGCTAAAGATATTATAAGCCAGTTGGGTGTTAAAAGCTCTGTTGTAGACGGAGCGCCCACACTTCCTGTATGAGATTTTTCTGCTCTGGACCTGCGACGCGATTCTATACGGGGATGTCTTAAGCCACGCAGTACAATAACAAAGCATAGAGTGCGCAGCCTACTCTGACCCATTTCAGTTGAGTACCCATCGAGAATATTGAAGAGAAATGACTTGCTGCCACACGAGTGCGCTCACGAAAGCCTACCACAAGAGGCCTTTTTTGCTAGAGGCACAGGCGTCCCACTTTTCCTAGATGGTTGAGTCACTGGGCTATAAGAATTTCATTTTTCGATCATGATATCTAGACTGTCTACCGATTATCCTGCCTAGTATCTTTAACTCAGTTGAAAGTTTGTCTAAATAATGTGTATAGACGTAGTGACTTCTCAATTTTACCTAGCTGTGTATACTATTCAGTATCAACTCTAATATACAAATTAGTATTGAACTTTGCCGTTCAAAATTCGAACATGAATTCTGGCTCAGTGGTTTGGGTGTGCTGGCTCCAATCTGTTGAGTGAGGGTTCGAGTCCCGTTACGATTAAAGTTAGGAAGCAGTTACTTGGTGTTTGGGGTTCACCAAGCTCCCCAGCTGGAGTCACGTCTTTTCATCTTTTGTTCATTGATCATAATATTTTAAGGTGATGTAACCATAACTTCCTTTTTTTTCGCGAAAAATGAGGCAAATTTCATAGAGTAAATTGTTGGAATTCTCTCAGAATCACTAAATGTGTAGAATTAATGTACCTTTAACACCTCTACCTTGCGGATGAACTTGATCATGCGCATCCAGAGGTGGTCACTGATGCCGGAATCGACTCCGTCCTCACGTTCAATGACGTCTTCGTCCTCCGTCACGATCATTTCAAAGCAGTGTGCTTTCATGTTGCGCTTGAGTCCGCCCACAATGTATACCCCTGGTACGAGCACGCGTATTCCGTCTTCGTTGGGTAGG